TTCAGCTCCTGGAAGACACCTCCCTGAGAACCTCCCCACTTCCCTCAGCCTGCCTGCTCCTGCCCCTTCCTCTCCCCTGCACCTTTCCCATCCTTGAGGGTGGTAGCAATGGAGGTGGGTCTCCTTATAAGCTTGACATCCTCAGGAAAGCCTTCCCAGCCTCCCAGGCTGTCAGGTTAATCCTTAAACTTTTGACCCCACTGCAGTGATGTAGTTGTTGATGTAATTGTTTAATGTCTGCGCAGCAGCTGCTGGAAGCTCCATGCAGGCAGAGCAGGCCTGGCTTGTTCTCCGTTTATCCCCACAGCCCCCCACAGTGACAGGCAGGAACAGGCAGTCAGTAAAACCTGTTGGAGATATGGGCGGATGGGTGGAAGGATGGATGGACAACGACAAATAATGAAGCTCTTATCATCTTTGACAAAATGCCAGGCATGCAGAGGGGCCAGGACCTTAGTGACCCAAGTGTGTGACAAGAAGGTGTTTGGAAGTGCGCCTAGCACATCTGACAATTAGTCCCCAGTCCTGAACATTCTTCCTCCTCTCAGTCACTGCCTCTCTCTGAGGGGTGGAAACATATAAAAAGGACATCTATCAGCAGATGATGTGCTTTTGGAAGACACCCTTGATACCCTTTTACTTCATTCACAAAGTGTTTACTGACCATGTGTAATTGTCTGTGGATAAGTGTATATTTGTGCATGTGTACCCAAGTCAGTGTGTGCACGAGTCTGTGTGTACCGGTGCCTGTGTGTGAGATGACACTTGCTGCTGTGTGGAAAATGGATTAGAGAGAAGGAAGAGATGAGAGTCCTGTTGCAAAGTTACTGCCCTGCTCCACGGGGGAAGCCAAGGAGAAGGAGGGGAACACTGGTGCAGGGAGGCTGCTGAGAAGTCAGCCAAGGGCGAGATCTGTGTGTGCCAGGGGGTCTGTCCCTGCCTGCCACCAGTGTGTATCGGCATATGCAGGCATCACACACAACTTCCCCTTGACCTGTGCAATCTGTGATATGCTCGTGTGTCCCTGCCCCCACAGGCATCATGCTGGGCCGCATGGGGGACAGTGGGGCCCCCCTGGTAAGCTTCTGCCAGTGCCTCAATGAGTCCGTCATGAAGATAGTGGCAGTGGCTGTGTGGTAAGCCTTGTTGGGATGGGGTTATCCTCCCCTACCCCACCCCCTTCCACTTCTGCCCTGGGCAGACAGAAGGACCCCAGGGTGAGCTGCCCAGGAGGCTGAGCCCTGGCCTGGGGCCTCCAGACTCACACGTGTTCCCCTGGATCTCCAGCCGTGACCAGGCCTAGTTCCAGCCCTGGGACTGCCACTTCTGGCCCAGTCAGGCCCACTGGAGGAGAGCTAAGAGCTAAGTCTGGCCCGGCTCTCCTGGCCCAGTTTCCCCATCACATGGAGCCCATCAGCCCAGCTTTTGGAGGAAGGAAACTCTGGAAGTGAGAACCAGCTGCCACTCCTTGGTTCAGAGCTCAGATCTTAGAAATCTTCTAGTCCAAACTTGCACAGTTTAGATGGGGAAATGCAGGGGCCTGCCCAAGGTCATGCACAGAGATAGTGGCATTGCTGGGCTCAAACATGGGCCTGCAGAGGGCAGGCGTGCTCCTCAGAGGCCCAGTCAGGAAGGTAGAGTGGTGCGAAGTTGTGCAGGGATGGGCTGGTTGAGGGTGGTGATATTAATGATGCCATGTACTGGGCACCTTGGCACTCATTCATCCTCACAGGAGCCCTGGAGGGCTCAGGGGAATCAGGCCAAGCAGTGAGGCAGTGCCAGGGCCACCTGGGACCCTCACTTGCCTAGCACTGAGCTGGCTGCCCTGCCCCCACAACAGGTACTTCCCCTTCGGTATTGTATTCCTCATTGCTGGCAAGATCCTGGAGATGGATGACCCTACAGCCGTGGGAAAGAAGCTGGGCTTCTACGCAGTCACTGTAGTGTGTGGGTTGGTGGTCCATGGCCTCTTCATCCTGCCCCTGCTCTACTTCCTCATCACCAAAAAGAACCCTGTGGTCTTCATCCGTGGCATCCTTCAGGCCCTGCTCATCGCACTGGCCACCTCCTCCAGGTAGCCCTGGGCGGCAGGCAGCACAGGGGAGGTGGTGGCTCGACTCTGTCCATCTGTTTGGCCATCATTGGTCCATAGCCATAGACTCACGGAAAGTGTCAGTAAGACCCGCATCACAAACTTGGGGTAGCTATGGTAATAAGACCAATTTTTGAAATGTAATGCTTAAGGCCCTACCTGCCCAAATGACAGAAAGCCTTTATCGCCTCTTGAGGCCTTCCCCTCTCCCACTGCCCACATCCCTAACGTTCACTCCATCCACCTGGGGGGTCAGCTTCCACACATCAGCAGCCCGTGGCCACCTCCTGCTTGACAGGAACCACAACCTCGGGCCCAGCACATCTGGACTCATTGGAGGCTCTGGCAAGTGGAAATGGGGTCCCCAGGCCATGACCTGTGAGAAAGGAAGGGCTCTGGGGCCACACCGACCTAAGTATTGGTCCGAGCCCTGCCACCAGGAGCTCTAGTAACAAAACACTAGCAGTAATAGTAGCAGGTACCATTGCTTAAGTCCTTGTGATGAGGAGGACACTATTCTAAACACTTACTTATTAAATCACCCTTATAGCTCTGTACTCTGGGTATTGTCCCTTCCTGGAACAAGAAAATTAAGACCTACACAGGCTAAGGAAACTGCTAGGCCCACTTGGCTAGTAGGAGGCTGGAATCTGACCCCAGCGAGACCAGCCCCAGAGCCCTGCTGTTAACCACTTCATCTACACTTGTCACCGCAGTGTGACTTGGGGTTGGCCCCTCCTCCCCTCTGGGCTTCAGTTTCTTCATCTGTAAAATGGACTCAAAACCGCTCCCTCACAGGAAGCTGTGAGGATCAAATGAGAGTGTGTAAAGCGCGGTACCTGGCGCATATAGGCATTCTGCTTGTGCAGGCCTCTTCCTGACCTGTGTGTGCCGTGGGGAGTCTCTGAGGCCCTGGGCCTGGGCAGGCCCGGCTCAGCTGCTGTCCCCACTCCCAAGCGTACCACCCCCGACCATTTTCAAAACCCCTCAGCCCATTCTCCCCGACAACGGGCCAGCTGCCTGGGGAGGAGCGAGCTTCCCGTCACTGGCAGGGGGCAAACCGGAGGCCCTGACCATCCTGAAGGACGGAGGGCAGATGCTGGCCCCCCGCCTACAGCTCAGCCACACTGCCCATCACCTTCAAGTGCCTGCTAGAGAACAACCGCATCGACCGGCGCATCGCCCGCTTCGTGCTGCCCGTGGGCGCCACCATCAACATGGACGGCACCGCGCTCTACGAGGCTGTGGCTGCCATCTTCATCGCCCAGGTCAACAACTACGAGCTGGACTTCGGCCAGATCATCACCATCAGGTGGACCCCCGACGCCCCACAGCCAGTGTGGATTGGGGTGGGAGGGTGGCTGCTGGAAGGGCCTTTAGATTTTCAAGCTCCCAGGTCCGATAGGGTCTCTGTGGCCCAGAGAAGGTGAGGGTCTCCTTCTAGGCCACACAGGAAGTCAACACTGGGGTGGGGACCTGATCTGACCCCTGTGACTGGCGGCACAGGGCTCCCTCCCCAGCACTCCCCTGCGGAGCAGGGAGCTCTGAACAAGCTGGGAAGCTGAGACCCAGAGGAGGGCCTTCCGTCTGGACACGCAGGGCAGGGAGGGCACTGCACATGGCACAGAGGGAGCAGAGGCGGGGGGCAGGACTGGGGGACAATAGCGGGGCTGTTGTGTGTCTGGAGCTGAGGGAAGGGTGCTGAGGGGAGGGGCAGAGGCCGAGGGGAAGGCCTCACATGCCAGCCCAAGGGCACAAGTCTGACCCTGGGGACCAGGCCCCAGAGGGAGGCTGGGCAGAGCTGTGCAGGTGGACGATTGGAATCTCCGGGCAGCTTCCTGGAAACCTACAGAGGCAACAGCTCCAGACATAGGGCTTTCCACAAACTTCAGGGGTTCTGCTGAGGCCAGGAATGAGGCCCGTGGGGCTACAGGACCTCAAGCAGGAATATGCCCCCCACAAGAACTCCTTGATGTGGCCTCCCTAACAACCCCTGCCCCATTTGGCTGTCCCCAGAGGCGCTGGCATTCTGGCCTCCTCCTTGGAGGGTCCCCAGTGCCCCAACAAGGCACCCCGCACCTCCTGCTTCTCCTCTTCCTCTCCCACTCCCTCTGCAGCATCACAGCCACCGCGGCCAGCATCGGGGCAGCGGGCATCCCCCAGGCCGGGCTTGTCACCATGGTCATCGTGCTCACCTCCGTGGGACTGCCCACTGACGACATCACCCTCATCGTTGCTGTCGACTGGGCTCTGTGAGTGGAGTTCGCCCCTACCCACTCCCACCCCTCAGGCAGCAGGGAAAATATCATGATTGGGCACAGTTGGGGTTCCTTACACATCAACACTGGCCTAGCTGCATAATTTGTTGGGCCCAGTTTTCAAAAACAAAAATGTAGGGTCGCTTGTTTACAAATTATAAAGAATTTCAAGAGGGTGAGAGCAAAACCTAAACCAAGCCTGGGCCCTTCTTAGCACAGGCCCCGTGCGACTGTGAGGCCACACGCCCATGAGGCCGGCCCTGCATCGACCCTCTTCAACATCACTGAGGGAGTGTCTGGCTTGAGAGGACTAGGAAAGCACCTTGCTGTGGGCTCTGCCCTGGCCGCCGGTGCCCACAGGGGCTGCTGGGGTGAGCACTGCCCTCTCCCAGCTCCCCTTACAAGTGCCCACCGCTCACCACCCACTAGGGACCGCTTCCGCACCATGATTAACGTGCTGGGTGATGCGCTGGCCGCAGGGATCATGGCCCACATCTGCCGGAAGGACTTTGCTCAAGACACGGGCACTGAGGTGAGAGCAGCGCCTCTCTCCCAGCCTGGCTACCCAATGGCCCCTGGCCCCCTACCCCGGGCAGGTGGAACCCGGATGGGGTAGACACCAACCTTCCACTCACCAGCTGGGGAGCCTTCAGCCAATCCCTCCCCACCTCCCCTCCTCAGTTTCTCATCTGGTACCAGGGTGACTAACTCCTCTCACAGCTAGTTGTTGAGCACCCCCTATAGCCAGGACTGCTCTAGACACAGGAGGAACAAAGGAAGCCAGAGCTCTGCCCTTGGGGTACTGTACCTTAGTGTAGGGGTGGTGCTGGTCCTCCTAGAACGGGCTGCTATTGAGTAGCAGGCTGCCCCACTCCACACGGAGGATGCTGAGGCCCAGGCAGGGGGCCCAATTCCTTCATGGATCTGTGGGTCAGGTCCCCTCCTCTACCAAGACAGCCTCACGAGGAGGCAGGACAGCCAAGAGAGGCCCTGTCACCTACTGAGGTCCTGCAATACATCTACAGAAAACCAATCGTGTGGTTCCCAGCCCTTGTTCAGTCTTCCCTGGTGTCTACCCTCCTACTGCTACCAAGGCCTGTCTCTCCTCCCCAGAAACTGCCGCCCTGTGAGACGAAGCCAGTGAGCCTCCAGGAGATCGTGGCAGCCCAGCAAAATGGCTGTGTGAAAAGCGTGGCTGAGGCCTCAGAGCTAACCCTGGGCCCCACATGTCTCCACCATGTCCCTGTCCAGGTGGAGCAGGACGAGGAGCCGGCTGCCACCGGCCTGGACCACTGCACCATTGAAATCAGCGAGCTTGAGACCAATGTCTGAGCCTGCAGGGCTGCAGAGGCCAGGGGAGGACTCCAGGATTGGGGCAAAGGGGAGGGCCTCAACTTACTACTTCCCTAAGCAGCCGTTAGGGGCCAGCCTCACATGTTCTTCCCACCCTTGAGAGCTCAGATTAGCTCCACTTGACAGAAAATGGAGTCTCAGAGAGGAAACCCCAGCTGGGGAGTGGTGGGCCGCATAGCCCAGCCCTGGCTGTGACTTTCCACCGTCGTGGCCAGTCAGGACAGCACGCAGGGGTTAAGGTCTGTACTTACTGGATGACAGAGTTAAGGCTGAAAACATTTATCCCAGGTCTCAGAGCAAGTCAGGGCTGGCGCTCCAACTCAGGTCTTTCAAGCCCTGGCCACTCCCTCCTGGAGGACAGGGGCACCCGCAGGGACAGATGCCCAGAGAGGCTCTAGGCTCTAGGCTCTAGGCTCCGTGTCCCTGTCACGGAGCCCCACAGTCAACACTGCTTTCAATTTATGAAGACATAACAACAGTGCCCTGGGTCTGCCCCTCTGTGTCCTGGCCCAGGCCAGGCCTCCGCCTAACCCCATAACATGTGGCCTCAAACAGCTGTCCCCAAGGGGGTGGGGTAGCCCAAGATCAAGGCCTGCTGCCTTCCATGTGCTACAGCCTGCCTCGTCTCACATCCCACCATCTCTCGCAAAGCTCATCTGATGTNAATACATCTACAGAAAACCAATCGTGTGGTTCCCAGCCCTTGTTCAGTCTTCCCTGGTGTCTACCCTCCTACTGCTACCAAGGCCTGTCTCTCCTCCCCAGAAACTGCCGCCCTGTGAGACGAAGCCAGTGAGCCTCCAGGAGATCGTGGCAGCCCAGCAAAATGGCTGTGTGAAAAGCGTGGCTGAGGCCTCAGAGCTAACCCTGGGCCCCACATGTCTCCACCATGTCCCTGTCCAGGTGGAGCAGGACGAGGAGCCGGCTGCCACCGGCCTGGACCACTGCACCATTGAAATCAGCGAGCTTGAGACCAATGTCTGAGCCTGCAGGGCTGCAGAGGCCAGGGGAGGACTCCAGGATTGGGGCAAAGGGGAGGGCCTCAACTTACTACTTCCCTAAGCAGCCGTTAGGGGCCAGCCTCACATGTTCTTCCCACCCTTGAGAGCTCAGATTAGCTCCACTTGACAGAAAATGGAGTCTCAGAGAGGAAACCCCAGCTGGGGAGTGGTGGGCCGCATAGCCCAGCCCTGGCTGTGACTTTCCACCGTCGTGGCCAGTCAGGACAGCACGCAGGGGTTAAGGTCTGTACTTACTGGATGACAGAGTTAAGGCTGAAAACATTTATCCCAGGTCTCAGAGCAAGTCAGGGCTGGCGCTCCAACTCAGGTCTTTCAAGCCCTGGCCACTCCCTCCTGGAGGACAGGGGCACCCGCAGGGACAGATGCCCAGAGAGGCTCTAGGCTCTAGGCTCTAGGCTCCGTGTCCCTGTCACGGAGCCCCACAGTCAACACTGCTTTCAATTTATGAAGACATAACAACAGTGCCCTGGGTCTGCCCCTCTGTGTCCTGGCCCAGGCCAGGCCTCCGCCTAACCCCATAACATGTGGCCTCAAACAGCTGTCCCCAAGGGGGTGGGGTAGCCCAAGATCAAGGCCTGCTGCCTTCCATGTGCTACAGCCTGCCTCGTCTCACATCCCACCATCTCTCGCAAAGCTCATCTGATGTGCAGATAGGGATGTCTTTATTAGGGCTTCAGGGGCCCTTAGAAACATCAGGGCCAGCCTCCCACTGGACAGGGGGCCAGCCAGGGCCCAGAAGCAGCTCGCCTGGGATGCTTTGATTGAGCTGTCCAAGTGGCTCTGGGGTCAGGACTCCCCAAAAGCCTAGGGGATAAAGTGGAGTTAGACTTTCTATTCCTTCCTGTGTTTGCAAATTCAGCAATAACTAAATAAAGGTATTTTGTTTTTCAAGTTTTGTGGGCTTAGCGACCATACTCTGGCCAGCATTACTTTAATGAGCTAACACAGGCTGTCACAGTGCAGACTGGCCAGTCTGGGTGGCAGAGTATAGACAGGTTTGTCCAGGTGGCCAGAAAATAAACAGGCTTGTCCCTGTAGCTAGAACGTAGACAGGTCTGTCTGGGCTGTCAGTGTGTGGCTAGGCCTGTCTGAGCAGCCAGAGTGCAGATGAGCCTGCCCAGCTGGCCAAAGAGAGGGCAGGCGTGTCTGAGCTGTCACGTGCAGGAGGCAGAGTAGAGTGCAAGCCGGCCTGCCCAGGGGCCTGTCTCCACAGCCACAGTGTGGACAGATCACTCCGCCCCAAGCATGGGCTTTGCTCTGCAGGCAAGGCCCTGTGATCAGTCCCCACAAAAAGAACCATTTCTTCAGCCAGTTGGGCTCCCTTTGGCAAATGCTTAGCTTTAAAGAAGGGACATGCCCAAGGACAGTTCTGAACTGTGTTCTTCATTCCCCTCAGCCCCAGGGTGCCTCCAAGAGGCTCGAAGGGGGCAGAGATGAACCCTGGCCACATAGCCTGTTCTGGATTCACTTTGGGGATAAGATACAGCTCAGAGGGATGAGGGGAGGGTCTTGCACTGTGGAGCCATAAAAACAATGAAGCGAGGGAAGAACAGGCCTCCCAAGGTCACTCAGAGAATCAGGAGAGCACCTGCCTCCCAGCCCCCAATTCCTTAACTACTTTCCATCCCCCTCCCAGGGCCATAGTCTGAGGAGTCCAGGAAGGGCCCTGACCCCAGGATCCCCCTCCCACCGGGGGAGCATCCTTCATTAGGGCCTAAGCAGCTAGGAGAGGTCAGATGTTAGGCTCCGGTCACTCCCACCATCGTGTGAGGACTTACTCGCCCCTTCTTTGTGTCACACACATCTCTAGGCCCTCTGAGTAGTGGAGTGCCCCACCACGGGCAGGCATTTGCTCTTGCTTAGGCTCAGCAGCAGCATGCTTATACACCCTAGTAGCCAGGTCACTACTTCCTGGGCATCTCATCCAGGGGCTGCTCTGCCTGTCAGAGACTCTCCCTTGCTCTGAGAAGGGTGTCCCAGCTCTGCCCTGTTGGGGATAGTGGGCACACTGGGCATGTCTGCACCTCTTCCCAAGGCTCTTCTCCAGCTCCCAGGCCTGCTTTGGGTCCCCTTGCCACCTCAGCTATCCGCTATGGGACAGACCCCATCGGTAATGCCCACTCAGTGCACAGGCGACCCTCCAGGTGAGCCCAGCTGAGCAGCCCAAAGCCCACAGGTCCTTTGCTCGGATGCTCAGCCTCCGGGAGTACATAGTGAGCACCCAGGCCAGTGGGGTGGTCCCACCCAGCTTGTTCCCCACAGTGCTGGTGGGTCACACATGCCTTCGGGCTTCCTCACCTGTGATTATACCTTGTGTCCCTGAACCTCTGCCTATGGGACTACTTTGTAGACCCCAAGAACTAAACTTTGCACTGACTCCTGCTGGTCTGGACAGGTGCTGAGATCCCTGTATCCTGTCCACCCTGGCCGGGTGCCAGCTCAGCACCTGGTAGGAAGCGCACACAGACATGGCCACAGGCTGCCAGACAAGGCTAATGCATTTATATTAGTTTTTCTGTAGAAAAAAAAAATCAGCTTTGACGTTTTAATCATTTTTCTCTTTAAAAAAAGGAACCCAGAACTCCCTGCAGACCCAAAGAATAAAAAACAGTGCCTCATGGGTGGGGCCGGGCCCTTCCTCCTCATTCAGCCCAGCCCCGAGACCTTCATCTCACTCCTGCCCGTGGCCCCTGGCAGTCCCAGGAGAATTCCCCCCTGGCCTTGCCCATCCAGGATGTGCTTGTGGCTGGCCAGGGCATGGCAGGGAGCGACTCCCTAGCAACTGGGGGGCAGGGCAGCAGTCCTGAAGGTTCCTGTCCCCAAAGGGAGGGAAGAGGAACAAAAGCCAGCTTTTGTGAGTTCCAGAGGGCAGCAGGCGCCTGGCCGCAGAGAGCTCGGAGATAACTCTGTCTTCTCCAGAGGATGGACGGACAGACGGACAGGCAGACGGCAAGCTGTTCTGGCCACTTCTGGCTGTGGCAAGAGCTGTTGGTGGCATAGGCCAAGGAAGGCCATTTGCATGCAACTTGTGTGTGTGTGTGTGTGTGTGTGTGTGTGTGTATCTGCATGGAGGAGGAAGTGGGAGCCCGTGCATGCCAGGGTGGGGTCAGGCCCTTTCCTGAGTCTGCATGATTCAGAGGGCGTGATGGCAGTGGTGGGTGTGGGGTAAAGAGTGAGACCCTCTGGAGGGCAATGTGTGTGTAGGTGTGTCGTGCTCTCTGCAAGGGTTTGGCTGTGGCACGAACTGTTGGAAGGGGTGTGGATGGGAGACTGTGTGTTCAGCTTGTATTGGGGAATGTGGGTGGGTGCAGTGGTGGGTGCGTCTGGAGTGTGGCAGAGTGAGGGCTCACAGGGCACAGGCACGTGCTGCAGAAAGGGGTCCGATGTCCATCGTCCTGCAGAACATGTGGGACAGTCAGGGAGGCCAGAGCAGACCCGCCAGCTACAGCCTGCCTGAGGGAGGTGGATCAAAGCTGGGGAGCCCACTTGATGGTGCTCTGGGAGGACCAGATAACTGCAGGCCAGAGGGGAAGTTGCCCCTGAGAGCCCAGAGCCAGTGGGAGGTACTCATGTTGATGTTGCCAGGCCTGGAGTGAACTAGAGGGCCTTTGGGTCCCACTAGACACTCGGGGGGCCTCACCCAGGGCTCTGTTCAACTGACCTGACCATGGCAATGTCCTCCAGAAGCAGCAGATCCTTTCCCACCCCAGGACTCCACAGCCCCCTTGTGAGGTCCACAGCATCCTCACTGAGTGGCAGTCACCCCTGTTGCTGACCCCTGGCTCTGCCTGAGGATAATGCCTGGAGAGAAGGGGCTCCACCTTCATAGCCCTGGACCCCTGGAGTAGAGGAAATGACCTCCAGCACTGCCCCTGGGCCTTCCCTCTATGCACACTCTTCTCACCACCTCTGTCATCACCCATGAGGTCTTCACACCCCTCAGGTTCCTCTCTGCCCCAGGCCCTACTTCAATTCAACTTCCTAAGAGTGGCCCAGTGGCCTCCCACAGCCAGACCTTGACCCTAACCCCCAGCTTGGCTCACCCTGATATCCCTCTAACCAAACCTCTCCACCTGGCTGC